TAAACACATCGAAGCAAATCGAGGCTTGTCACGAAATTAATTGCTCAAAAAACTCAATCAATTGTTGTGGAAGTACAGGAGGCGGTGACACTGCGGGGGAGGAGAACACGCGCGCAAGGGCTGCCCGAGGGCGAAGGGAGGAGGGCGGCGGACCAGGGCGCAGGACGCGCGCTGCGGATAATCACCTCCGTCGGGCACCATGAGGGACATCCACGCGCTGCAGTCGCGGCGCGGCGGCGTGCACTGTCGCGCCAAGACAACGCCGCTTCTCATCTAAATACAGACAGCGTTCGACCAAAATCGCGATCGCTTTCGCTTACCATACGTTAAATTTAGCGTGTACAGAAATAAGCGAGTTTTTACGCGTTTTCAGCGCGCGGGGCGGGCGCGGGGATGCTGCGGCGCGGGAGACGCGGGAAACCCGAGATTCGTGCCGTATTTGGCAGGCGGGCGCGGGCGCGGGGCGCGGACGGTCGCTTTTGGATATTTAGTTTCGCGTCTAATTCCGGCGGCTCCCGGCGCAGCGTCCCGGCCCGCGGCGCCCGCCCGCCCATACCTGCCTTCTTTGGACGCGCCTTGCGTTTGCGTAACCTCTTAACCGTTACAGGAATACATCGGCACATTCTGCGCACAGCTTCTTCTATATTTGTACATAACTCACATTACAACACGTACAGATAGATGTATTACAACTCTGCTACACCAAGTGTATGATAAAGTGTATGTTAATATACATATCAAGTTTAAATTATTACAATATACTCTTCTTCTATTTCTTAAGAGAAATCTCAGAAGCACAACTCAACTGCAGCAGCAAAACTTTTGACGTAGAATATTAAATTTATTGGTGATTCATCCTTTTGGCTGAGTCGCTTTGAAATCATATAGTACACCGCGCCGTACAAACTGCATGTACTTATAAAACGAGGTAACTGTTAACTGGCAAATAATGCGTTTGAATCCATTTATCAATTAAGTTAAAATACTGAGATTGTTGTCTCGCTACTGTCTTAGTGCCACAATATTTTTATCAGGCCAACTTTATTTGGAACAACCTGTGGGGCTGTCAATTCAACAATTGCAATGTGTATTTTTCAATGTAAACGCTAGATAAACAGTAAAAAAAATTATGCTGTAATTTTGTGAAGAAGACGAAATATAAAGTTTGTTCAAATTTTACCCGTAATCTGTAGAACGTAATGTGGAGTTTCTTTGCAGTGGGCGTGTAGCAAATCTCTACGTAATTGTAATGAAAGCAGTCTGTCTGTGGCGCGTGTTGCGGGGTGTGCGGTGCGCGGTGTGCGGTGCGGAGGGGGAGTGCTAGGAGCTGCGCCCGCGCCGCCCACGCGCCACACCGCGCACCGTAACCCACTTGCACCCACAACGCACAACTCAAAGCCAAGTGTCAAATGTTGCACTAAACTGCCTTTTATACTTTCTAGTAAAACAAATAGTTTGTCAACTTTGCGTCTATTTACACTTATACACGCTATTGACACCATCTCTTTACTACATTATGGATGTATATAGCTCTTTGAATAATCTATGTCAGTTAGAAGAAAAATTATGACACGCCAAAGAGGCTATTAAATTACAACGCAAAAAAATTGCGCTTAGAAATAAATTACGTGTGCAAGATTCGTCATCAGACGCGCTGCTGAAAAGAACAGATTCTGTAAATATACTTCTGAATTTATTGTCTACGTAAAAAAAAAACAATGTTAATTGATTATAATAGTTGCGATTGAGCAGGGCAGCGGCCGCGAAGTGGCGTTGTGGGCGTGGGCGGCGTGGACACCATCCATCATCCACTCAAACTCTTTATGGTCATCGGCCTGTCGTACACACTAGATGCAGCTATCGCTTACCGTGTCATTATAACAAACAATATTCATTTTTACGCTTAAGAATTTCACTCTTGTAATGATATCTTTTGGAATAACCGGATAACTGTGTACCAAAAATGGAAAGTTTGTTATAATTCATTTTATTGATCATATATTGTTTGTGGTCGACCACTGCCACATCGTGCGTTTTTATTGTGTTCGATTATTAGTGTGTCTTTTTTGTATTATAAGGTGGCAAACAAGCAAGCGGCTATCTGAATTTGTCGATAGCGAAAAAACCGTGACCCATAGACATCCCCAACCGCAGATGCGTTTCCTATGTTTAATTAACGGGGAGGGGGAAGCGCAGAAAGAGGATATTTCTCCTTTCTATGCGGCATTTTTCCATTTTTACAATAAAATAAGCGAATCATAAATGGAATCATTTGTCAAATTTAATTTGGCAGTGTATCGTGTGGGTTGTACGCACGTGGAAATGTTTCTATCAAACAACAATCGTAGGCATTTGAAACCGGCAAAGATGGAATAGTTATGCTATATAAGGCGTTACGGGCGGCGAGGAAGGGCCGTCGCGATGACAACGAGCAAGATTAACTGCTATTTATTGCCGGTTGTAACGTCGCATCGGTGTCCTGCCGATGTCGGAGATGGGCAGCAGGCGCACGTGGGCTCGCCTTTTGGCCGCCACTCCTCGACAATGAGTTTACTTCCTACGTAGCCCCGGTGTGGGCATTTACACTGCTGTCTTTGCCAGAGTACACTGCTCAACACACAACATAACTAATTTAAAACGTATTTGCTGAATTTATGAAATATATCACAGCTTACTTGCCAAATGTCTGGTCATTGAGTATTAGCAACCTTTATTTACTTGATACTTACCAATTGCTTAGAGTGATCTAGTCTTGTCTTGTTTATTTTAGTGAAAATAGATTTAGCGATGTCCGCTAATGTTAAATATTTTATGGAAATCGATGAATATGATAAGTAATTTATTTACATTCCAAAATACAGTAAATCAAAAGCCTAACATTTTACTTTACTGTACATTGAATAATCCAGGATCCTCGGATCGGATATCGGATGCAACGATAATTAGGATGTAAAGTAATAAAGACATTTTACGTTTAAAATAATACACCGTGTATGTTGCTGACTGTACCTCCGCAACGCAAGCGGTATTATGATTCATAATTTATAATTTATTTATGACGCGTAGTGCCTGCGCCAAACTGAGACAAATACATCGTGATAACACCTAATATTATGATGACACATATGGCATGGAAAATCAATTGCCTTATTCATCGAATCTTTACATCTTTTCTACTACTATTTAATATCTACACTTTTGTATATAACTGGCCTCTTTTTTAAATAAACTGGGTTTTTTCATATATTATGATATTAAAGATTGTTATGAGTGATTAGAGATATTATTTTTCTCGATATTTAACGCATCACATTAAATGAATTGTCTTTAGTGTTACATAGAACATAATTTGCTGAAGTTACCAGACATTTATGTTCATATTCAGCAAAGTTTGACAAGTCACTCATAAAATATATTAAATTTGATTAAACATAATTAAACACTAAAAAGGAAAATCCAATTCTATTAGGCGACTTCATGATACGACACAAGTGTCATATGATGGTCATATACTTCCAATATCAATAATAAAGCCAAATACGTGGGATCATTATGTCAGTTAAGGCGCTCATACCAAAATAAGGGAGCTGTGAATACCAAAACTCCCGCCCGAGCGCAGCCGCTCGCTGTCGTTTCCTTATGCCTTCGTAAAGCCATAATTTCGTAGCAATTTTATTATTTCTATTTTTGATTGTTATAATCAATTACTTTAAGTATTATTTAAAATTATTCTTGTATAAATGATAGCTTAATGATATTTTGTTCGGCAGTGGCGAGCGAGCGAGCGTGTGCTCCCTCACTGACCTGCGCAATAAACGTCTCTATTGACACATTTATTGATTTCGTCATCGGATCCTCGCTCGCTCGCCCGCTCGCCGCTGCACAAACAATATAAATAACTCCGGGATCCACTTCCAAATAATTAAAACTGCAAATTAATGCAAGATGGCAGCACTCTAGTCTGCTGGCAGAATAGCCAGAGCATTCTGAGAGATATACACTTATATTCTAGCAAAAAGAAAAACTCTATGTTATTTATTTGATAAGTTTTCCTTATATCATTTTTATAACAATCCTTACGCCTCAATACGCCTGAACTACAATAGTAAATGGGTGCATTTTTTCAGTTGCTTTGTGAGCAAATTGTCACGTAATGGAACCGCGTTAGGTTTTCACCACGGCACTGCGCCCACGCAACCGCGCGCTGGCCACGTGCGTGTGGGTCGGAAGGGGGGGGGGCGTAGGCCTAACATCGTTGCACTTTAATTAACCATTATGATAATTTATAGCGTTTTTGTTTTATCTAATCTGTCTTGTTTATGGTAAATTTATTTTAATACGACCGAAAAAGACTTGGTAGTCGATAGGTTGAAGTTGATGGATTTAATCTATAAATTGTTAATAACTAAATATTTTATCTTATTTCATAAATCATATTGTCTTTCCCCTTTCTTCTCTTCAGTGTTCATGTTATTCCTCTATATTTCAATTTTATGGAATCTCAAGTGATATATAGAAATAATGACAATGATTACAAATATTAATGAGACAAACGAATGTAACGCGACGCGACGCGGTGCGGCCCGAGCGGCTGTAACACACGTGTTACGGAATCTATGATAAATATTATTATACTCACATAATTACCTGACACATTCGTATCCTTTATTATCTTATACCTTTACTGCAGATTCCGTAAAGAGGAAATATTATTGCTTCGCTTCAACAAACTTCAGCAAAAATATTTTTTTGATCTCCGTTCTTGTCAATAATGCAATCCGATCCACTCTTAGTTATTATTTAACGATGAGTTTTTTTATAGAGAATTGTTCGTAAATCTGCTCAATTAAGATTCGAACCTCCACCTCAAGTTTACGAAAACAACGAGTTTATCAGCTAAATATTTTTTTTTATGTTTTAAGCATGAAAAAGTTGTCTTAAGTTTCTATGATTAATGTAAGAAATAACACTAGTACAATAGAAATCAATTATTTACTTACACTTCACAAATATCTTTCTTATCTCCTTTTTATGCATACACTAAAAATGCTCCCAAACAAAAACATAACACAAGCACTGCAAATAAACTGCTACGTATATTAAATTAGCACATTTTATCAATGAAACACCGCAATCTATTGCACTTAACTTTATAAGAAACACTTTTGCGCAAATTATTGTTGGCGCGCGAAAAGGCGCGTAATTCAAAGAGTAAGATGGCGGTGCGATGCGCGCGCAGGCAAAGGCCCGCGTCCGTTCTGCCAGCGGCGCGCTCGCGCATGCTCCGGCCGCCGCTCGCCGCTTGCCGCTCGCCGCTCGCCGCTCCGCCGCCTACAACAAACACCTCGCAATGAGATCATTTAGGCGCTCTCAACATAATTCACACTTTGCTCGTAACGAAGTGCAACACAGCCTTTGCATGCCAATGACTTGCCTTATAATGCTAATTGCTTTTACATTGTACATACTACACGCCGCTGTGGTAACTTTATACCAAACTATGTCAAATATGCCTTAATTTATACAACAAGAAATCATATCTGCTATTATGCATTTATGTAATAGTACTTAACTTACACGAATAAATATTGTACCACACATCGTTGGACTTAATTTATAAACACACTAATATATTACATTTTTTTTATACATACATGTAAGATTATATGGATGTTTCCTTTTCAAAAATAATAATAATTTGCTAATGAGTTTTTTTTGTAACTGATCCAGTCCAGCACATACCGTTAGTTTGCTGTGAAACTTTGTCAATGTCAATTCAATACACAAGGATCGATGACAAACAAACATAAGAGAGGATGACTTCACTGCGACCTATAGCTGCTGGCCGCTGCCGTGCCGCTGCCGTGCCGCCTCTACACTACGTACGTATGTATGAGTAATGTATCGCCATCACACATTGCTGATTGTGTATGGATCGATTGTAAACACGAATTTTTATAAAATTCTGTATATTATTAAACAAACAATATGCGAACTGCATAATGCGGTAGAAGTTATAGATCTCCGTTCACAACGATCTTTGCACACATGTCTCCAATCTAACACATTTTACAACTACACAAACATGTCCTTCGATTACGACTAATAATATTATTATGCATGCAAACGTCCATTTTGTTGTGTTGAAAATCAAAATGAAAATCGTATTGGTGAAAGCTAGTTTATTGTATTGACATAACTGTTTACTTAAAACATGGAACAGTCGCGTGAAATTGCGCGAGAATTAGGAGCTAAGCGGCTAAGCAGTCAGGCGACTAGTGTCCTCGCCGGGCGCGTCGGCGGCGCGCGGCGGCAAGTTGAGCAGCGACTTGTGCTCGAAGGCGCACGTGAAGATGTTCCAGGCGAGGTCCTCGGGCGTGTCGCCCGTCTGCTTGCTGCAGCGCTCCAGTATCTGCCACATAAGCAACAATATAACATTTGTCAGCCTTTACTATAGTAACTTCACTATACACATAAAGTTATCCAGTGTGTATGGGCTATGGGCTGGGCTCACCTTGGCCTGGTCGGCGGGCAAGCCGCGTGCGAGGTGGATGAGCGCCGCCTTGCGCAGCTTGCCGTCCTTGGCGAGCAGCTTGCAGCGGCGCAGGGCGCAGTAGGCGCGCCGCTTGAGTTCGGCGCCGTCCTGCGCGCCCACCGCGCCCGCGCCGCAAGCCTCCCACTGCGCGCGCAGCAACGACCGCCCCTCCTTGTCCAGCGCCTGCACGAACATATCACTTCAACTAATTCCTTTCCCATTACATGCATAAAACAAGATTAAAAAGATTAAAATTACCTCCTAAAATAAAATAGCAATGCTTTGGTAAAAAAACAAAGCAAAGTTATCAATACTCACGATACAGTTCTTGCATTCTGCATTCGCCTGCAAACAAAATATTTATATTTAGCAGTTAGGCACATACGATGACACGACCAGAAAGATAGAGAAAATTTGTGCCCCAAGGGAGGCGCGAACTTCGCGAGAAGATGTACCTCGTGGGTGTTGATGATGAAGATGAGGGCGGCCAGCGCCGCTGCCGGGGCGAGGCGCACGGGCATGGCGCGCTGCTGGGCCCGGGGCGAGGGCAAGGGCGGGAGAGGACTGCGGGCCTCGTGGCTACTCCGTACAGAGTCGCGGTCACACGGGGCAAACGCTCTTATAGGGGGCGCCACCTCCTCCTACCACGATATCTCACTAAACAAACGAAACCGTTTATTGTCTCAAAATTGGTTTAAGATGATATGATTTGACAAGCTATAGCTTAGTTTTTAGCGCCAGATAAGATTAAGTTCCACGATTCCTCCCTCCGACCTGACAGAAGAGATGTCGTTTAGCATTAGTCTTTAGTTTGATCTAGAGATGAGAATTTTCTTAATATCGCAATCGTTCGTAACAACATGGTAGCGGGATCATCATTGTTTATAGAGTGAAACAATAATGCGGCTACATTGTTTAATAAACTCGCGGCGGATGGGCGGCCGACAACATCCAGCGTCTGCATTCTGTCTCCTTGTTCAATCGCAAAACAATTGCATTTGTTCAGTCGGCGAGTGACTAGCTAGCACTTAGTTTACAATATCATTTTATATTCGACACAAAGTGATATTAGCGCTTGCATTTTATATCTCGAAACTGTATCTTACCTCTTTTCTAGTGCGTATAAAAAAGACCTATAGATTCCTGCGACTCGAGTGCCACCTGCTGTATGATGCTGCACTGACCGCATGCGAGGTGCGCTCGCGGCCGCGTTATATATTTTTCTGACACTTTGAAATGACCCTGGAAGAATGTAGTTATCATACAAGTATTCTTACCTGCTCGAAACGAAGTACTTTTAACTTAGAAGCATATGAATATTAATATATCTTTTCACTCCTATATGTATATTTTCTATGCTAATGAACATTGTTGTACTATTAATCTTTTAATTTATATTGTTGTTAAACTTAGCCTCTTGTTTGCTATTATTTTGTAAAGGTAGGAGGTTATGTAGAGTATTGTACGAGTGCAGGAGGCATGTACTTGGTGGGCACGCGGTGCATGCAGACGGAGGAGGGCGGGCGCGGCGGACGCGAGGGGCAGAGCCGCTGCAGCACGCAGGGCGCCACGCTCAGCGCCGCGAGCGCAGCCAGCGCCAGCTGCAGCAGCATGCGCCGCCCCTGCACAACCACCACCACCACCTCTGCTGTGTCAGTCTGTCCCCGCGACACGCGGCACTGATGACACATGTCGCCGAATGTCTCGCCGAGGAAAAAGGTTCCCCTTACATTAACTGCCGTCTCTCAACTATGAGTTGACAGTCGGCAGAGATTGTGATCTCTGCAGTAATATACTGCGATGTGAGCAAATAAAAAGTTTACTTACAACTTAGGGACGATCCAGTATAACAATCTGTTAAAGCATTTACTAAAATTTGCAACTGTAGCCTAAACTTTGGCAACCCGGCTACCGTTCCGGTGTTGAACACAACGCATACATGAAAATTTAGGTGACGAACAGAACAAAGACGATTTAAAAAAATGGAAACGTAAACAACTGCGCTTGTGTGACAAATAACAGTGACATATTTTGGACATAGTATGTCATAATTGTTTTTTTTATTAGAGGCAAGCGAGTATGCGATGACTCATTGGTGATAGCAACCCATTCACTTTGATATATCGACTCATCTAATCAAAATAAGCCTGAAAATAGCCCAGTTTTTGTTTAGTTTTCTTAAGATATCTCACAAAAGCGACTCTTCGTCTGATACGTAGATGTACAAACTGCAAGTTGCTTAGTGTTTTCATATCTTTCAGCACGACAGAGTTCTAAGTACTATTCACCCTCCAAGTAGTTGGTATTCTTTTTTCGCGTGGTTTCGATATATTATTAACTGCATTTTGTCCCTTGATTCAGATTTGTAAATAAAATAGCCACCGGGTTTTTACCATATTTTTATTCTTTATTTCTCAACGCATATAAAAGATAATTGTATGTAGAAAGCGAATGTTGAAGAATAAAAAGCAAAGTATATTACAAATGATTTTATTTACAATACTTCAATACATCTCTCAAGTGACACGTGCATGTCACGCACATCGCTATGAAACATACAACTAAATCGGTATTTCAAATGTCACCATAACTGAGAAAATCCCTACTTATAGTAATATCAGATGGCTTTGTACATTTCATATAAGTTTAACAACAATGATACAGTTGTCGCTGCGGCGATGTTTAACTAGTGGAGGTCTCCACACACTCATAGTGCATGTAACATATCATAACATACGTCACTGTGAGTAACGCAATTCTCCTTTTACACATTCCTCTTATTATCTTTGAAAAAACAAACACAAATATTTCAATAGTCGCATCGACTCGTGACATTTAATATCTTTTGAGATTAATGTTGTTGTTCGTTTGGTTGGAATGGTCTATTAATATTTTAGTTTGTGTCAGTTAGTAAAAGCTGTAGAAGTAGAAACAGGCGGATGTGCAATAGATGCAGAGACAAGCTTTGCTCCAGGTGAAGGTTGTGACAACATGCGCTATACTCACTCACAGACAACAAACATTTGCATTCATATTTCTATTTATTATAAATATTTCTATTATTAACTTTAAATAATACTACGGCTCATCTTCCATGATATGTAACAACTGTAGTCCAATTCAATGGAAATGGAAAATTATATTAAGTCATATAATGTATTGTTTATGTATTTATTTTGTAAAGCTTTAATTGTTGATACAAACATGTATCCAACGACACGACGCAGAGTTGCGTCTACATCATTATAATGATACAATTCGACTTTACACATTCTGTAGCAACATATTTTTGTTGACCTTTTTACTTCTTTTTCCGAAATAATTAAACATATTATTGAATAAATAAAACAATGATGCTACATAATAATATACTGGAACATTTGTAAAGTTTGTCAAAACGTTGTCCTTGTTGTATTGTATAATAAACATGTCATCTGTTTAACTATATAGATAACAAATATTTATACATCTCTAAGTAAAACTTTACGACAAGAAGGTAAACTTTTTCACAACACATTCTAATTCATAATTCTCATGTTATTTATCTAATGTACACTTACCACTAACATTTACACTTTACATCGACACATCGATACGTCGACACATCGACACGTCGACACATCGACACGTCGACACATCGACACGTCGACACATTGACACGTCGACACATCGACACATCGACACGTCGACACATCGACACGTCGACACATCGACACGTCGACACATCGACACATCGACACGTCGACACATCGACACGTCGACACATCGACACGTCGACACATTGACACATCGACGTCGTGTTTGTTATTCGAGAACTTGTCACCCACACTCTGCACATACACTATACTTACACACACACACATACACACACACACAAGTACTAGTACACAATATTAAACACAAAGTTCGATATGATGCCTTCACTATGACAAGGTTTCACATTTGGCTGCACTCCTTATCTAGTTAATGTTTTTGTAAATCCTTAGCATATTAAGTCATTTTAAATTTCAATAAATAAACATTATGTTACGAACATAATTTAGAACATGAAGGTATTTGCAGTAAATTCCCCGGAGTCGTGGTGAATGTGTGCGTGTGGGTGTGGGTGTGCGCGGAGCTGACACTCTGCCCCGCGCACACGCACACGCACACGCACACGCACACAAACATCTTTGTACGGGATCATTTCGCTTCTGCCTTACATTATCAACATGAGTAAAACTTTGAGGAGATGTCGTTACCGGCTGCGGTCACTGAGCGGCGCGGCCTGCGGCTACACGGGCTGCGGGGCGGTGCGGGGGGC